ACACAGTCTCTCCAAACTATACACCCATTAATCAAATATAGGTAAAATGGTTTGCTTGTAAATTATTAACAGAACCTTTCCACACAAAAAGGATAAAATCCTATTCAACATCTTCAGTTTGGGATAAACCTTGGAGGATATGTAAGAAATGTGATCATTCCAGTTCAATCGATTGTCAACTCAAAGGGTTTAAGGGCTGGGTCAAAGCTGCGTTCGGAGCATACGAATGATTGGCAATATATACCTCTGGTTAGGAGACCTAGAATAAAATGAATACTTCCCCAAAGGTAAATCTTGACGTTTTCTTGTGCCTTAACGTTTAATTATGGTCACGTGACACATCAGGGGACAAAAATATAAATCTGAAGAGAATTGGGGAATTGGTGACGAATTTACTTTGTTTGGATAAACAAATTGGCATTTCTGAAAGAGGATAAACATACCTAACTTTCTACGTTTGGAATGAATAAACACACCAAGTTTAAAATTAAAGTTTTAAATAACTCAAGATTAAATTGGGGCATTTAAAATGATGTTTTCCCTTATAATTTTTGATTGAAGTGCAATGGACGGTCATTCCTGTACAGTCATTCCAAACATGAAGTGTTAGAAATATTTAATATTAATTATGGAATATGTTATTGCTCAATTTCTTTTCTTAAACTGGCCACCAATTGGTCAATAATTTACAATTTTTAGCAAAATGGTCACGTGATATATCACACGACTTATACACCTTTTTACCTTGTATGATCTTCAGGAAATTTGCGTTTTGTCTTTTCATTAATGGGCAAGTGGATGCACGTGCATAAGACGAAATTTGAAAAAAAAACAGTTCTCTAGGGTACCATCATGTGGTCTGAAATGGGAAAACGAAACTTACAAGCTAAAAACGTCTATAACTCAATATTTATACTTTAAATGTTAAGGGCGATGAGTTCTTTGTTTGGCGAAATTTTAATTCAGCTCCATCATCTATGCAGAAGTTATAGCAAATAAATCATTTTCCACAGGTAAACCCCTTAGTCCAAGGACTTAAACTGCTTGAGAATGACCAGTCCTAAATAGGTGAATTGTTCGGATTGTTTCAAGGGTTTATCACCAAGCATGACTTGTAGTTGACGAGTAATCTTGACAGCATGGTTAGTGCCTATAAGCATCACTTCAGATTTCTTGGTATTACTTATTAAGCCATTGTTGGTGAGCCGGCTGCTAATTGATTTCAGGTCACAGTTGATGTATTCCTCAGCTCTATCAATGTCGTTTGAACTTGTATGAACTTCAGTATCGTCAGCATATAAAGTAACATGATAGTATTGACAGACACTGGTTATTCCATTTATGTGAACATTAAAAATGGTCGGTCCAAGTACTGCCCCTTGAGGGACACCATAAGTTATTTCCCTCTTAGAAGAGCCACAACCACAGCACGAACTAACTGAGTTCTATCAGACAGATAGCTCCTCATCCACTCCAGAGCTGTTGCGCGTACACCGTACGCTTGCATCTTGTCCAGAAGAGTAGCGTGCTCGATCACGTCAAATGATTTTCGAAGGTCAAGAAAAGCACATAGAGCCATAACTCCTGCTTTCATGCAAAACAAAACAAGACGAAAAATGCACCAACCAAAGAAATCTGAACTGATCGAAGGTAAATTTGTAAACACCAGACTACTGCTAGGCTTCTTCGTACGACTCTGCAAGATTACTCTACCAGTTTCCTTCCATCCCCTCGAGAAGAAATATTTCACAACAAACTTCTCTATTTGTCAAAGAAAACAAACGCACAAAGAAAGCAACTATCCGAATCAGTATTTACTATTAGAGCTTCCTGATGAAGGTCAGACATTAAGGGCGTAGCCCGCCAACCATTTTTTCCTTGTAAGCCCGCGTTGAAGAAGTCCCAAACGGGAGGAAGAGGGGGGTAATATTAAAGCAACCACAGCTCCTTTGTTTTAAGAGTGTCGTTTCAAAGTAAGACTAAATACTGGCATAATCAGCAATTGGGGGGAATATCTAACCATTATAAGCTTTTTTTTAACTACTTCAGAAAGAGATCTCTGCCCACACCCGACTTATTTTTAGACCAAACTGAGGCCCGAAGGGCCGAAAAAATGTTTTTTTGGAGACCGGGGCCCCCACCTTATCTAACGGTCTGGATGACCGGGCCCCCCTTATCTCAAAGTCTGGATCCGGTACTGCTAGAACAGAGCTTATATAGACCTCTAACATGCTTCCTTGATCAACGCCGGCTCTGCGTAGAATGCGTAGGGAGTAGAGCTTCTTGCAAGCTATTTCGAGAAAGGTTGTCGGCAAAAATGTGCACGCGACGATCCCGAAAGGTAACATGGGATATGATCAATACACTGTTCCAGACACTGTACACGTAGCTGTCAAAACTTCTTATGTTGGTTTCCTTTAGCACGCGCAAACATACGCCCATGGCCTCTTGTGCCATTCTTTCAAATTTCTTTGAAGAACAGCGAACTCAAAACCACCCAAATTACCTTTCGGGATTGTCGCGTACACTTTTTCCGACGACCTTTCTCGAAATAGCTGTACATGACTATTCCACTTAAGGTCGCTATCGATAAATACTCCAAGAATCTTGTAAGTCGATACACGTTCTATAGCGTTGTTGCCCCTAAGATCATATATAAGACATCGCTGCCATAACTTTTTTTCTTGTTGGGCCATCCTTGCTTTATAGTAAAACATAAAATACAAACAGCTGTGTTTACTGCTCTTTTCAAAAACACCCTTGACGCGAATTCTGATTTTAAAAGCCAATATACGTTTGCGACCTTTGCTGCCGTCGATGATCTTAGCGGACCTCTTAGGAAAGAGACGTTTACTTCAAAGGGTCCAAAATGTCATGGTTTATGATTGGTGGATCTCGATCCGTTTTGTGTCTTTCTGTATTTCAAGTCACGTGATCGTAATTATGATTGACGGCAGTCATTCTCGTCACTTAGCCACTCGGCTTAATTATAACGACCACGTGACCAAGAATCGACGGGCTCTGGGAACGAGAATTGACGGCAGTGAAGAACGCATTAGGCCATTTCCCAGTTCCAAAAAATCTCAGTTTCAAAGCGAGGCTAAGTGCGAAGCCATTGATATGGAAATGATTTTTAATTATGATGCAAATAAAATCATTTTCACAACAAAGATTTCGCACTTAGCCTGGTTTTGAAAGTGAGACTTTATGGAACAACCTCGTCCCCAGGGCTTTCCCCTTAAGGGAAAAGCCCTGGGGACGAGGTTGTTTATGGAACTCGGAAATGGCCTGTGAAGGCGGCTTCTGTACTTCAGAGTTTACGTGTTTTTGAAAAGCGCAGTAAGTCTAACATTGAGAACTTTCGCATTTTTGTATATTGAAAATGTAAAAGCATTCAAAACTTCGAGTTTATATAAAAATGCGAAAGCTTCGAATGTTCCGTGAATCGAATGTTTATCACCGCTGTTTATGTTTATTTTTGATCAACAACAACCGTCTCAGGCGTTAGACCGTGGTGCTCGCAAGTAGACAGGCGATGTCACGCGCGATAACTTCTGAATTCTCTCACTCACCTAAGATAATTGAGTACTCATATAGTAAAGCAACCCGCAGTACGTGCCCAGGAAAAGAAGTAACTTTTAGAGACCAAGGTGGTTTAACTCATGCGGAACGAAAGAGCGTAAGGGAACCTAGCGGAACGGCTCACCAACTAAAGAACCTCGACTGATGCGATCAATCACATGAGAGCGTGTACTCAGTGAATGATATAAACGATTAAAAATGTACAATGTCGTAAGTTTCTGAAGTTTGCTATAATGTCCTATGATGTGCGCGGACTAATATCTGGGAGCCACGAGATCGTTTAATCCTACTTTCCTCTTTCAAAAAGATCGCTCCTGACTGTTCCATTTGATGAAGCTCCTTCAAAACAGGGTCTCAGTATTTTGTTAGTTCAGCCTTAAAAAAAGCCATGTCTGAATTATACCACAGATAATGGTATTTTCTGCGTTTAAACAGGGTTAATCAGGGAACAATACCAATATTAGCACTGAACTCCGCAGCATGCGGCATAACCATATCACGCCGGCCGGTGGCAGCCATGGACAGCTGTTTCGCCCTTATTGGGGTTCTTTAGCATGGCATAGCCGTTGGATCTCTGTACGGACAAAGCCGTTCTCAGAGGCCCGTTACTGTCGAGGAGAACGCGGCTTAATTCGTACAGAGGCCCGACGGCTATGCCATGCTGATGTGCCCTAATAAGGGCGAAACAGCTGCCACTGTCGGGGTGATATGTTTGTGTGCATGCGTAAGGTAATGACCATAACGCGGCCCCATAACGCAGTGAGTTAACCGCAGAGGTGGTACGTGTGCTTCAGTGCTAATATTGGTATTGTTATAAACAGGGAACCATGGACCAAGATATCCGATGCGTACCGTCTATTAGGGTTTTAGATTGACTAAACATACACTGACCGTTTCCGATGAATCTTATATTATACTTTGTTAACAGTTTTAATTTCGTCGGCTTGCTAAAATACTCGGTCCTTTTTGGAATGGTGCGTGGCCCATGTCATCACTAAAACGCGCGCAAATCATGGGACATTTTTTAATAATGAAACTTCAAAACGAACAGTTTAGGCTTTTAGGCATCATTCCTTCGTTCTAGATGATGGATTCAATTTCTGGTAAATGTTTATTTCGAGACTATGGAGACCTCATCTGAATAGGCGCATTGTTCATAGAAATGACTAGTAGCAGTAAGGAAAAATAACAGTGTTTAGTATCCAGGCCTCTCTCTCTTTATTGGATTTACCTGTCACCGGCCCAGGTCACCTGCCCGTCACAATCTCCAATCATCCTAAATCAAATAAGAATAAACGAACAGAGCAACTGAATTTCATTTATCACAACCAACCATCGGCTTTGGAATGTACCTTTCTGAGTGATATATTGTCAATTTTTACTTTTTCTGGTGGATAACGCAGCGCTACAAGAACGCAATGTACCCAAAGGAGGAGAGCCCTTGTGATGATGTTCGCTTTTCTCCAGGCTTTTTCTTCCAATGCAGCGGTTGGCTCTTCAGTCGGCTAAAAAGATACAGCCTCCCCACGTCAAGGTACGACCAAGTTACCAAGGAGTAACACTTACTAGGTGTTATGGTGGTTTGTTGAAATTAGACTTAGAAATCGGCAGTATTAATCATTAGATTTATCTCTCGCGGAATACACCAAAAATTCCAGCTTACTTTCTCCTGATGATCAGAAGAAGCTCACCTAAGAAATATGCTGGGAAATTGGGTCACTTTTGTGTGACAGAAGAGGATACCAAACCTAACAAGTTAATGAAAGGAAGTACTAATTAAACTGAATCAAGACCAATGAGAACTACAGGAAAAAGGAAAGAATTTTTATTTTCTGTTATGCACACGGCCAAGCTGGAATCATTCGGTAGAAAAATATCGCTTCTTCATCTCGAGCGCGACACGTGAGTCTTAAAGTCCAGAAATGTGGCAATGACAAGAACGTGACCATCATAATACAGTGGAACATAACGGACCTTCATATAACGAAGTCCTCGGTATAACGAACGATTTTCTTTACCTCAGTAGTAGTAAAATATATGGAAAAGAACCGCGATGTAATGAAACCTCGTTATGGCAAACAAATTTGCCAGTCCCTTAGCACTTCGTCATGTAGAGGTTCCACTGTGCTCCGGTTAACGGTTGTCTTTTGTACGTGCGCTGACAACACATGATGCACGTCGCGTGCGCGGAAGAAAAGTCTAAAAAACTCACACTTTTTTATTCTTTGGGTCGTGAACTACACCACACTTTTGAATGTCAGGAGTAAATTTTTTCCTTATCCTTATCGAGTGTCATCCGTGTAAAGAAAAACTAGAGTTTAATCACCAAATTTGGAAAAAGTTGTATGGAACGCTCTAAATCACGCGCTTGTCACTGGATCTCTACCACTTTGATTAGCTTTGATTGCACAACCAATCGATTTACGCTGTAAATTTTCCCGCCAACTTTTCACCAATCACGTGTACGCAAAGGGTGTTTTGGAACGTCATGTGACCCGGATGAAATTGTGCTTCTCTTCTTGAATGCTCGTGTGTTTTGTAGGAGATGAGGTTTATGAGGGGAAAAAACTGCCAATGTTATCCAAACTCTTCTCTTTTGGTCACCGAAAGGCCGGGAAAAAGCACAGCGATACCGAGACGTAAGCATCATTATTCGACAGCCTAATTTTTCGTTTTAGAACGTCGTAACGGCCCTTAATAATTTTATTGTATTCACGTTTCGCAGCGAAGCAGACGAAAAAATTCATGGGACAAAGAGGTAAATGTTAAAGGGAGGCTAATGGTTTTTATTTTTGCCAAGTATTGTAGATTTATTGTTTGATGCGTCACAGGTACGACAAGTTACAGTCAGTTAATTGGGAATGTCAGCCATGTTTAATTTCTTTAAGGAGTGATGGTTTCGTGACCGATGGTTTTGCGGACCACAATGTCTTGTAGTGTAAGCTTACTTACTATTATTGATTTTACAAGTGTTACTACTGAGTAAAGTATTGAATCGACACCATAAATGCGTTTTAAACCCTTCTTCACTTGTTCGAGGAAACGACAAATAAGCTTACCAAAGTCGCTCCATAAGAAAATTTCTTTTCTACTCGCTTTTTATCGCATTGATTGAGCTACAAGACAGATTAACAAATTCATGCGCATTCAACTTTTACTAGCGTAATGTTTTCAACTACAATAAGTCTGAGGTAGCCGGTGATCTAGAATTTTCGCAGCATGTAACGTATCGGCTGATTCTTTTCAGGTCAAAACAGAACAGCAACAAATAAACATTTTTAACCCATCCGGTGTCTTCCTTATTATAACTTAGTTTATCAGTGTAATTTGTCGGGCTAAGTGGTTCACTAATTTATGTGAATTTTGTTTTATTTTATAAAATTGAGATCGATTAGCCAAAATTAATGGTATTGATGAGCCTCGTGACTCAAGATGTCAAAGAGGCTGCAGACGTTCCTGATCCCAAAAATCTGCTAACCTCAGATTATGACGCATTTTTCCAATTTGATGATTTATAATCTTAATAACATGAATACTTTACATTTTTTCTCTATTGTTTTATATCTACAATTGATGTTTCGAGATCTGTGGGAACAAAGGTTGATTGTTTGACAAGGTGTTTTAGAGGTTTAGTAATTTTTAGATGCTGATTTCCAGGATTAAACTTCTTTAACTTTAACTTGTTGACTGGTGTTGACATGATTATTTTTACTAAATCAGAATAATAATTTTCAGTGCATTAATCCTTTTTTATCTTAAAACAATTGTCTCTGACGTCGAGACTGGTGAAGCTTTGCCATTAGTGGGTAACAAAATACTCTAACGTAGTATTTTGCTTAGGGGCCAACCATTTGGGGTTACGATGATCTAGTTTGCATAAGAATTTATTTTCCCCAAATCTCTGGTGGTAGAATTTTTTCCCTATTATACAAAGCCATTGTATGGCAGGTATTTCCTTGCAAGATATTTTTCACTCAAAATCAATCTGCATGATATTTTTTTCTGGAATGCCTTGAAAGTAAACGAAACACGGTTTGCAAAAAAAGGAAGTGAAATTTGAATGACAAGGTGGAACAAACGACAGTTCACTTTTAACAGCTTTCAAATGTCCTGTGAGTTGTAGGGATCTGAAATTATAGCATAAAAGTATGGCCTCGAGCAATTATTTGCACATGTACATTTATGTTCTTCTTTGGATAATTGCTAATGATCATTAACTTTCATATTTGACAAGGCAGCTTAGATAATATTTGGTACAGTTGTGCAAAACATTTTGTTATTATTGTACAGTGGAGAATTCCTATACTACAGTTGTACTCTTTGTCCCGTTGGTAATGTACTTTGAGAATATTTATACATTTGGGACCATATGAAACCTAAAACTCAGAGGAATTAATTATGTTTTCATTTTGGAATAATCATGTTTATGATATTGTAAAAAGCAAGAAAAAATATTTTTGTTTTAACTGGAATGAGTACATGCTTGTATGATTAAATGACCACCTTTTTAATGCAACGATATTTTCATGGCCCCTGTATACTTTTACTACTTTCTTACTGTTTTTGTTCATGACTGGAGAAGTAAAAATGGCTGAAAGTGGCTGTATAAGAGCTGTTGTATACATTATAGGTTTGGTCAGAAAAAAGTACTGAAACTACATATACGTATATTCTTGTAGTTAAGTTTTTATCTCAGGTAATTTTTATTTTTCTTTTGTTTCAACTTCATTAGCATACATTACCATACCCAAAAACAGAAAAAAAAAAATTACCTGAGATAAAAAATTAACTACAACATATACATGTACATTTATATAGAAGAGGAACATGGCAGATTTATTCATTCATTCATTTATTCATTTTTTTTTTTGCCATTAACTAATATAAATACAAATACGACAACAATATACAGAAATTTATAGTGCATTAGAGATAATATACACTATTCTAACTAGAATTATTTACAAAATTAAATGTTTAGAGTGGTAATGACAAGAAAGCCTATATAGAAGCCGTGGGCTTATAAACTATAGATTCATGTAGAAGTGCTATACTAGCTAGGACACAGGACTGAGTAGGGTAGAGGGAAGTTCAAGAAGGGAAGGAAACTTCATTTGGCATTTTTCCTTTCTTCTTTTTCAAGGCCATTTCCTCAGTTGGAGCAGGATAAGATAAGAGTCCTGGTGTTCAGAGATTGTGATCGCAGGGGAAAAACCTTGTTGTTTGATTCTAATGCAGTTGCCTGTCAGCAGGTAAGAAAATTTATAGCAATCATTTTACTGTTATATATTACTGTTACGATAATTAACAAAGACTTTATTTGCTGTAAATGTACTTCTTTTCTTGGTTGGTTACAGTCATAATGGCTTTTTATGATTGTTCTACTTACCCTATTGTTCACAAGTGTCTCATCAACTTCCTAAACAAAAGTTGATTTACTCTACTAATAGTTTGTCTGTTCATCACAGGATGCATGCCATAACAAGGGCTATGATGTGGAAAACAAGAGGCTATCTGGAGGACCAAAGATGGACACTAAACAAGGAAACAAGTCTCCAATGTCAAGACCTAAATTACAGGTTTGTATCTAATGCTCAAGCAGGATACATACATTTAATAACAACAATAATCAATGTATTTGCCAAGTTTGATTTTGTGGACTGCTTTTCATAGGTCTACTACTATTTGCCTTGTTATTGTGATCTTAAAACTGCGAGTTTTGCATTTGTAGAAGACGTTTTGCATCCTTCTTCAAAGTTTCTCCTGCTTTTTTTGGTCTTAACCTGTTTTCACTTGCTATCAGCCTTGTGCTAACTATATCACATGATTTTCAGAACCCACGACCGAGTCATGATGCTAAAATGCTGGGAGAAATGATTTTTGGATCAGTGGCAATGACATACAAAGGGCAAACAGTCAAAGTTCATGAAATAAGGTATGCCTTATTACACAAAGCATGATGGCAGGCATGACTAGCATCTGCTTGTCTTAACTGGCCGTGTTCTCTTTATTGGCAAGCACTAAACTTTATATTACTCTGCTTTTTCATGTGTATTTGTATCAAGAGCACAATTTGTTAATGATTGCTGTTGTTCTTGTGATTTTTTAAATTTTATTTAACTTCCTTAGGTATTGACACCCTGTACACCCCTATATGTTTTATATGTAGTTTGTGTGAGCAAAAGCTTTGGTGTAGAACAGAAAATTTGCCTGCATTGCAGGACTGATTTTGTTAGGTGTCTTTAATGAAAATAGTGCATGGTGTAGTGGGATGGTTACTGGCAGCCATATAATCACTCCACCAATGTTATTTCATTGGTACGAAAATTCATATGTGTTCAAGGTAGATTATATTCATCTGCAAAGATTAATGATAGTCTGTCTTAACATTGTGCAGACATAATATTGTCTGATCACAAGTTTTTGTTGTACATAGGCAAGTTTAGGCAGACATTGACTGTTATCTGTGGTATTGTGTAGACTTACCTAATGATCAGGTGTAAAATATGAAATTTTCAGAACACCACACCAGCTACTTCTGACCAATGTGTTTGCTGTTAAACCAAGAATTGTTATGCCCAATTGTTGGTAAGAATTGTTCATTTTGACTGGTCAAATTTGTTAATCTGTAAAATAATTATGATGTGAACAGGTACTGCAAATGCAAAAAATATATATTTTTTTACCATTGTCATCATTACATTTTATCGTTTTTGGTGAATGTGGATGCGATCCTACTAATTACACTGTATTATGATCAGTCTACATGTAAGAAGTTTATAACAACTTGGTAGTTAAACTGGAATCTCTTTCTTTCCCAAAGTCTTTTTTAATCAGCTATACTTCATACTGCGTATACATCTTTTTCTTTCATCTGCATTTCACCCATATAATTTATATCTTATACAGAGGAATCCTGGATTCTTGAACCCTTGGTTTCTTTAAACTCGTGATACTTTAATCTACCTTGTTTACTCTGAACCATACCTTTTCCCTTGGAGTTTGAAGAAATTGGGATTTTACTTAATGTCCGTTGTGAGTGACTCTATAATTAATCAGTAATAAGTACACACCAAATACAAATATGGCAGACCTCTCCGCCAGCCTGGGTCTAGTTGTGCAAAAGCTAGGCTAGTTAGGCCTCAAGAGTTTTGTTTTGACTGCTCGTCTTAGCGATTGAGTTGATAGATATGGTTTCCTTCGAGTTGTTGCGTACCTGAGTGCCACGAAAAAGGAAATTTTACTCTAGCTGGAAGTACCTTTACTTTTCCCGAGATCTTTTCACAAAGAAAGTTAAGGATTCATGCGATTCAGTGCTGCGATGGAAAGCACTTTACAGCGAAAATGCAAGTGTGCTCGCTTCACTTGCTTTAGAAGAGAGGACTCACAAAAGTATTTAAATGAAATAATTTTCACAAGAGATGGTGCTGTTCCATTATGTTTGCATGGTCTTTTATTTATCCAACAAAAGGTGAACATTCTCGAGATTGGGAGCATCCACTGTCGACTTTTCATGTTTAGATTTCACGCTGGAAACAGCTGCATGAAATATAACAACAGTGATGAGTGTGAATGAAACACAACAATAACAATCACCTGTTAATCCTACAAGCATGGCCTGTGAAACCATGTAAGAACCAGAAGAAAGCAACATGTTTGAAGAACAGTCCTTTGATCAAAGTGCACAGAAAAAACTAACAAAGGAACTGTCACGAGCTAAGAAAGTAAGAAGAAGGAAAAAGGTTTTGGCAGGGAAAGAGTGTGCAAGTATTCAAGCATTGTATTTGCCCTTACGCGTAATCTATTTTGGCAACTTGTTCAAGGGTTTTGAGATAAACTAACAGCGGAAGTAACAGAAGTGTCCCTGAGAGCTCCTTAGGATTGTTAAGTCGGAACGGCGAACTCACTTGTTCTCGAGAATGTTTACCTTTCCTTGGTAAGAGAACAGACAAAGCGAACTTGAAACAGAACCATTTCTCAGGAATTCTCCCATTCCAAATAGTTTTGTGAGTCTTCTCTTCTGAAGTGAAGTGAGCACACTTTCGTTCTTTTAACTCGGTGATAGTAAAGGGCTTCCATTCCTTGCACCGAATTGCTTCAATCCATGTCTTTCTTCCTAAAGAACCTTGGCAAAGGGAAGATAATCAACTTTTGTTTCTGAAGCAGTTAAATCTCCTCTTTGATGGCTCTTAAGCAGGTAACAAATCGAACCAAACCATATCGATCAACTCAATCGCTAAGACACGCTGTCAAAACAAAACTCTTGAGGCCTCACTAACCTCACTTTCGCCTAGAGGTCCGCCATAATTATTATGTATGTATTATTATTACTTCTACTATTACCACTACCACTACCACTACCACTACTACTAGTACTTATAGTAATATTAATAATTTAATACTTATTTTTGTTTGTTTAGTGATGGTAATGAGTACTTAAGTACCAGCAGCCAGGTAGACTCAATGCTTGATGACAGCACCAGAATTGACCCTGAATGTGCCTCAGTATCATCTCAAGGTAGTTTTTCGAAAGAAGATGGACTTCTAAATGGTATGTATCATCACTATCCAGTGCTCAAACATAACTTATAATATATGTACAGTGTACGTAGCTACAGTGTAGAATATTCACCTAATCAAATTCAATAGCCTAATAAGCACACTGATGATGTCATCTAACCAATAACTTGAGTTCTTGTGAGTTTAGCAATCCTCCCAAGTGCATCCATGTTCTTTATGTTTCACAGCATGCAAAGAAGTGCTTTTTGTAACTTACAGATATTAATTATTATACAATATTTGTATTACCATTATTTTTTTTAGGAACTAAGTCTTCTAAGCCAGTGGATGTTCCTGGAACTTCACCATATCTTGTTATTGATGCTGATGGAGACAGTGGCTTCACTGCCTCAGTTGAAAGTAAATTTTGAATTTATGGATTCTAGCTTCAATACATTATATTGTTATTTTAAGTAAAGTTAATTCTTTTTGAAAAGGTTTCCATAATTTGTCAGAAGGCTGTTCATGTTACTTTCACTGTCTAGCTTATATTAACAAGTAACTTCCTCTGCACTATATTTCCAAGAATAGCATTCCAGTTACAAAACACTGTAATTAATGGAAGTTATAAGTTTATTCAGTTATAACATCAGATTTACAGTTGATCCTCCACTAACAGCCACCTCTTATCTACAATGTACATTGGCCACTTTTTTCAGCAGCAAGCCATATATTGACTCTTGTTTAAACTTCTTGACAACACCCACTTCCTTCTGTCCCCAAGGTGGCCGGTTTGGAGAAGTCCAACCATAGCTCTATTTTATTCTTGATTTTATGATGTTTTTCATTATATCAGTAAATGGGTAGCTTATTTAGTGTTTTCAGTGAATACTCAGGAAAGCTTGCTACTTTTCCCTAAATTGAAATACTTCCAGGTAATTAAAGAACTATTCATTCTAACCATATTTCACCTGCACATGGTGAACACTGTACTTTAAATTTGATTGAAACTCCTAAGTATTCTCATGTTCAACCCGTAGGTCACTGCAAGGAAAATAGACTATTCCATTAACAGTCAAATCAGGTCAAGCATTCCCATCCCTAATGAACTAATGAATTCATTAACGGAAAAATGAGTTCATTTGTTGATTCAATAATCCATTCATAAAATGAACAATCCAATATTCATATTCAGCCTCGATCAATAAACTACACTTTCCACAAGTTGACCTCAGAATTTTGTTCTTCCTTCTTTTTTCTAAGAGTGGAGGGTGGGCGAGTTCTGAAGTTCAAACCCAAACAAACAGTCACATGTACACTGTTTTGCTGCCAGTAATCAGTGCAATTCAGACCTGACCTCTTTGACAACACAGTGGTCAATATATGGGGTATTGATCCTTGGCCTTTAATAATAATAATAATAATAATAATAAGGATTTCTATAGTGCCATATCCGTAGGCTCATGGCACTTTACAACTGAATATTTCAAACTGAAAATTTTGGAGATAAAAAAAATTTACATCAATAATAAAAAACAAATTTATGAAAAATACAAGTTAAAATTAAAGATTAAAAAATTAAAATTTTGTCAGTTTCTTTGCATTTGACTTTGCGGTCTGTCGATTCTAGCTGTTATTTTGATTAAAGGCAATGAAAAACGCAGTTGTAAATGGTAGGAAAAGGAAGCAAATACAAATTAACCCAACAGACAAGAATAAAGAACCGGTAGATTTTGTTAATTGTTGAATTGATCAATCTGACTATTGGATTATTCACTATTTTTATGAATGGATTATTGAATCGACAAACCAAATCATTTTTCCATTCATGAATTTATTAGTCCACTGGTGACAGGAACGCTTGACATGGTTCGACTGTAATGTGTAGTGAATAAAATAGAGGCATTTTAATATCTGCTTCCTTCTTTCAAAGGTAGCTACATGGATGAAAATCTATCATCACTATTTACTTCAGCTTCTTCACCTTCTGGCAGTTACCATCGGCGTCTTTATCGCAGTCATGCCACAAGTATTGACCGTAGCTTTGGGCGAAAAAGTGAAGAGTTATCAGAAGATGTAAGTTATCAATAAAATTGCTTTGAGAGAAAGGGCTTAAACTAAGAGTTCCGTGTTGCTGGTTATGTGCAATAATATTAATAATATTGTTCACGGTTAATGTCCTCTGCAAAGGAGAGACTAGGTTGTTGTGGGAGTGTGACCAAAAGCGTGATCAGGAAGAAGGCAAAGCTTCAGAAATTTATTTCCGAACATTTTGTCACAAGTCAAACACAAGAAACTTCAATCTAGAAATTTACTTGAGCAACTGTGTTGGTTGCCCCCTAAAATGGCTAATTTTTTGCCAAAACAAAATGCAGCGTACATGTCTGGGACTCCCTTCCCTACCCTACTGAGTTTTTGACCCCTACTTCCAGAGTCTGTTCGTAGATGCAGGTGTACGCTGACATCATTACCAAATGTTTTCAGATGGATAGATTACCAAATTATCTTAGCAATTGGGCTCCTCTCACGTGCTTTAGCTCCGCAAAAAATCAATTTAATACTACATGATCTGTTACGCGGCCCCATAAGCTGTTTTAGCTTGAATCTTAAGCATGTTTAAATAATGTTGATGTTATTATTTTCATGGGGAAAAATCTTACAAGTGTAAAAATTACTGTACTGAAGATTATGGTCAAAACAAAGTTATTTGTGTAATCTTGCTTCTGTTTTTTTTTTTTTAATGAGGCAAAGTTTGATCTTCAATATTGTTCCCTCTTTGGTACTAAGTAACAAGTCTGTAGACCATTTAGTTTGAACAGGTTTCTAAGGAAATTTAGACAAAATCATGTGCTCATGTGCTCTTTCACTCCAGTGTCATACATGTATGCTTATATTTTAGAGACAAACCCTTTGGTAATTTTTGGTTTAGAACTTTTCAATTGTGAGTTGTGAATTTACAGTTAAATGGGGGAACCTACAGTGTAGCTCAGAAAACATGTACATGTACATCTCACAGTAGTTAACAATATGTCTTTTTTTTGCATTTGTATTGGTTGCTTATCCCTGAGCTATACTGTTCATTTTGTTACCCACAAGTATACTATATTTATGTATTTTTTATTGAAGGTTTCTCCACTGATGAGACGGAGGCCAAAGTTGGGCATTGGGATTATTTTATCACTTGGTGACAATGAAGAAATGAGCAGGTTAAAATTATTGATAAATATAAACATTTATAACAATACTTATGACCCTTTCACTGCTTGAATCAGGAATTATTTGACGAACAAACATTCAATCACTGTCTTGATTAAATCTTTTAATAGGACGTGTAATAAAGGAACCCTGTTGAAGAAATTTCATGTTATTCCAAAATTAATTTTTAAAAATTTTTATCTTTAATTATTGTACTAGCTACTTTGGAGAGTTAGAGGTTTTTTCCCACTACATGTAGTTGAATATTCAGGCAATATACATACATGTTTACGTACATGTACATGTATTTATCAAATCCAAGAAAGAGTACCTTATTAACATTTCCAAATACTAAAAATTTTAATCAGCTTATACGTTGAAGCTCATCCAGGCTGCTAATTATACCATACATGTAGTACTGCATGGGAAGAAAATGCCCATCAATAACTTACTTAAATGCAAAAATACCACATCCCTCATGTTTAGAAATACTGCAATTTTCCAATTTAATTGTTTTAAGGCTACGATTTCCAAAAGATTGCATAGAAAACTGTATAACACTGCATTGCCCCCTTATTATCATGTTGAAAATTTCCTTGTAAATAAGGTTTATCTTTTTTAAAATAGGGCTCTTCAAGGTTTCTTCTTTGCACATTTTCCATTGCTTGAGTCACATGTGAAACGGCTACGACTGGCTGTTGAGGATGCTTGCTTCTCAAAAGCCAAATCATTTTCAACTCAAGTGACAGAGGTATGACAACTACATAATAAACCATTCATGTTTATTTTTGGGGGGATCAGTCATTGGATCATATTCTGAAATAAGAGTAGGCAGAAATTTTGTGAGTTGCAAGTCAAGCTTGCTGTGATTTGTGGATGCCTGGAATGCTACAGGAATGTTAATAATGGCAAATTTGAGGCTGTCACAATGCAGTGAATGCCAAAATAGGATATTTTGAGAATTTATTCCTTTTATTGTCATGCTGGAATAGAAAGTGTTTTGACTTCACAGAAACCAAACTATATAGGTAATGGCTCCAACTATTTGAAGAAGTAAATACATGTAAGGTGAATGTAATACAACGTACCTGCAACTTGAAACGCTAATCTGTCTGTCCGTAAATGAGTGGCCTATCCTTTAGTGTGGTCTCATTGCATTATCTTGGTGCAGCTTACATTACGTAATAGCTTTCAATTAATTACCTTGTTTAATTGTCAAATTTCAACAGGCAGTAAGTCGATTCAAAGAGAACATACACAACCTTCTTGCAGCACCACGACTTAAGGTACAGTTCTGTACAGTATTGTTGTGACCTTCTGAAGGTTTTTTAGCAAAGTTGTAGTGGGGGAAACAAGCAGGTAGAAGGATGTAACCTGATTGTCACCAAGGTGTTAAAAGCTGGTACTCCAATGGAAAGAATGAAACAGAAATGTTAATAGGATCATGATTCAATGTAATGTTTTTTAACTGTAATGTATAAACTATAATTTTTTGAAAAAGTGTTAGTACATATTGCACATTGTTGTAGTTATTAATTTTATTCCTTTTTCATTCTTTTAGGAACCTGTTTGGTTAAACATGATGACTCACTCATCTCATCGTCCTCATCTCTGTGAAAAATTTATGGTGCAGTTGATTGATTGTCTCAGAGTTGGAAATACCAGGGAAACAAATTTGTAAGACTTGTGATTCTGTTTCTGCAAAACAATTCTTTGTTAAGAGTAGACAACAGATGAAGGATGAAACCCACTTAGCAAAGACACCAAGAAAGGGTATTGTTAAGTGTTTTTTGTTTTTGTTTAGTTTTATGGCAGCAGTCCTGACAGCTGTTTTACAATACCATTTGGCGTGGGTATCAACTGTCATGCCAGCTGGAACAGCCCCTAGCCGGGCTTACCTGGATAAGCATTCTTCGAAAACGGTAAGGATAATTCGGGTTAATCTTTACTTGCATGAGAACTCCCGCTCTTCGCAGGAGTTGGTGTATCCTTAACCCATTCGCCCCTGAACCGCCCCTTACCGCCCGTGCGGATCCACGTCCTTTGTACCCTTTGTGATGTCATCAGTTTTAACGGTCAAGGACAACTTTGTTCGCTAACTTGTGCAGATTGAAGAGATCTTTCAAACCATACCAGAATGAGCTCAATTCAGTCAAGGACACCGGAGAAAGAGGCAAAAAAAACATGTAACATTGACCTGAAAATCTCCATGAAAATCTTGTTCCATTGCTCACCTACCTTTCCTTTCACCTAATCCTAAGATCCTAAAAGCTTTCCTAAAAACTATTCCCACCCAAATGAAGCCTACTAAATGCCCAGCAAGAGAAAAAAAAATGAGGCAAGAAAAGCGAAAAAACAGGGGAGGAGAGAAAGGGAAAAGTAAAAGTCAAGACTGCTGTGTCACTTTTAAACCCAAAAACTCTCTTGAAATTTTGCTTTCTGCGCATGCCCGAACTTTGCAAGCTGATATTTTGCATCTGGATCAGAAGGCCGTCAAGTGTACGACCTGTAAACTGGTTTGTGGTAAGTTTTAGCTCTTTATAGCACGACAGTGACCAGAAAACCACTCGACTAGCTTCAAAACGCGTTTTTAGGCAAAATCTCCAGGAGCGAATGGGTTAAATGTGCTTATGAAAATCAACTACATTGTACTGAGTCCAACATCTCCATCTATAATGTATACACCTCCCCAGTACAGATGCTTCTTGTGGTCCTTGTTAAGGAAGGGAACCTTTTAGTTACGTAATTGTTACCCCTACAATATGGACTCCCTTACCTCTACTGTGTACCTTTTCATGTATATGTTACAGGTCAAATTCAATTTCAGGTTAAGTTTGATTTAACTTATGTTGATTCTCAAGTTTTAATGTCTCCTAGCCCTAGAAAACAAAGGAAATTGAGAATCAACCCAGGTTAAAAAAAATTTCACCTGAAATCAAATTTTACCTTTAACATATACACTGTACCTCTAATTTGTCAAAGTTAGAGCATCTGAATCAATTTATTTTCGTTGACCCAAATGTTTATTGGGTGTGGCAAAATTTGATGAAAAGTTTGATGGTTGAACCTGGTCTACAGTTTTACAATGTACATGTATGAAGAGCCAAGTACATTTCTTTTATATTATGTGTTTGTACATTTACATCTCTATTAGTAGATAGAGTTGTGTTAAATCAATAGTGATTTTATTACCCAAAACTAATCAAACTTTCTCTCTTTTTCTGTTGTCTCAAAGCTGGATCTTCTTGCCCAGTCACACCCTTACAATCCATTGTGGGCACAGCTAGGGTAAGCTTCATCGTAAAAGTGGTTTCTGGCAATGCTATAAACCTTGTTAGAGTGCAAACATTAACATAGAGTTTATGGGTAGCGAAGAACACCGCATTATTTCATTCTAGGTATAAGTGATTGGTCCAAATCACAAATGCATCATTTTTATTGAACAAGTATATTACTTTTTTTAAATTATACGAGAAAAAATTTGCCATACCTAAATTTAAATTTTTAGCTTTCCCACAAAAGTACTGATGATACAGTACAGTATTGAATACTGTCACCTAAATTGCATGTTTTTTTTTTATCATGTTACAGTGCCAGGTATTTGCCAGTGTATTTCTGCACTGAAATGAATATTATTCTTTAACACAAAATGGTTGTGAAGCTCCCTAAGGTGTCCTGACAAAAACTTGAATGCCCAGGAAATAAAGATTGAAATTATGGCAGCTAAATTTCATGTGCTATATCAGAAAAAGACAATGCATCAAAACAGCAAAAGAAACATTTTCAGTACCCCTCATTTAATTTAACGTTTATTTTTCATGAACATTTAAAACCCCGGCCACTTACATGTAAATGCGCAAAAAAATCAGCGCGGCACCCAAAATTTTTGGCACTGTGCTGGCAATTTTTGGGCTCAGCACACACAGCACACACAACATGCATCAGTACCAATAGGTAGTGTCTTCCCAAAAATCACCTGTATGGTGCTAAAAATTTGGAATGTGGTGCCAATTTTTTTGCACGTGTAAATGAAGTTTAGGTTGCAGTACCTGTCTATGACATATTATTTTGACCACATGCTTCCATTAATAGTTACACAGGCAGAATAATTTAATAATGTTCAGTTCATGAATATCTTGCCCACTTGTTGATGGCAGTTGATGGCAATAATACTGAGAGGGGTTTTATATGTTGTGGTTCAATTTTATCCTTGGTTTAAATGTTATTTTCTTTTGTTTCATACTCATTATCATGTCATTATCATACATAACCATACCAAAAAACAAAAGTAAACAAAATTTAATTTAATGATAAAAATTGAAGTACAACATAATATTATATACCTATCATTTTTTTTACTTGCAGGGACTTATACGGTGCTATTGGATTCCCTCTTCGAGTAGCAAAAACAATTGTTGTTGGAAAAGACTCTAAACTTGTTGAGCAAGTGTTAAATATCCTAAGTTACTTTATTAGATGCTCTGAAGTGTTTGAGCATGTACAAAAAAGAGATGTTGGAAGCAAAGATGGTGCAAATGATAGCAGTTCTAATTTAAAAGAAGAAAACAGTTGTTCCCATTGTGGACATTTGCCTCCTGCTGACAAGCAACATTCTAACAAGAGCTCTAGTTTAACAAGTGAAGCTGGAGTCTGCTTTAAATGTAAGCAGAATTGTGGAGGAAAGTGCTTTCTGCAAGAACTAAAGGATGGGCAGGATCAAAAGTCTTTATGTGAGCAAACATCTGAACAGTTTCATATTAATGGCTTGTATTGTTCAAAATGTTCAAGAAAAAGCAACAACTTAAGTGCACTGTCTGAAATTGAATTGTCACAATTGAAATGTGTTTGTAACAGTATTTCCATTGGAGGTGTTCAAAAGGAGTTAAAACATTTTGTCAAGGATGGAAATCACTTGAAGTCATTTCGATGCTATTGCTGTGAACATCAAAATAGAAGCAATGTTAATAACATTTTGTCTCATGAAACCAAGGAGAAATGTTTCTGCGATTCAGGTTGTGATGCTGGTAATAATGAGGAGAAACAGGATTTCACAAGACAACTACATTCTACAGGGAGCTACTGTATAAATTGCTTACAAAACCTGCTTGGACAGTGCAACAATGGCCTTGAAAATCAAGCAAATGGCTCTCTGACAAAATTAAGTCATATTCTTCAAAGAAAAGATGTTATTTTAGGCAGTAATGGGCACAATGACAGTCAGATATCTGAAACAGACAGTTGCCTTTCTGATGATACCGACATAGTCTCAGTGAGAAGCAGTTTGCCAGACTCTTGTACTGATGTTCATGAGACTATAGCATCTTATGGGCGCAGCGGTTCAGCTGACTCTGGTATTCATCAAAGTCCTCTAAATTCACCAATTGCCCAACGCCCTGTAGATTTTCCTAAACTTATTGCTCATCAAGGAGAAGAAACAAAGATGCCCAAAGAGCTTTCTCTTCCACCAGTTCTGGATCTGAACTGCTGCCCTGATCTTAACAGGTAGGAATTTGGAGTAAAGTGCACCAGATTTCCAAGAGAATTGATGGATTGTTTTGCTATCTTTGATTAATAATGCTGTCAAAAAAACTTTGTCAAAAGGAATCAATAGCACCTTTTGATGGGCTTCAAAATACTAGTTGTTTCTCTGGACAAGAAGCTGTTCTCCTCTTGTCTATCTGAATGGAGTTGAGGCTAGCTGGATTTCAAGCTATAGTGGACTACACTTAGAACCCTGTCTAGTGGGTGGTAGAAGACTTAGTGACAATACAGTGTACGATATTCGTACATGACCTGTGTAGGGTTTCACAGGATGGTTATCTTGTGCTATATTGCCTTGAGGACTTACTTCAAAGGAAGGTTCCAGTTAAGAAATGGGTCACTTATCTGACTCACCATAATTACCTCTATAGTGCACCTTGACACAAACGTTTTTGTTTTGTTAGTGCAGCTTTAATTCTGGGGGAGTGTGTGCAAACTTCTTTTTTCCTTTGCTGTGTTCAAAGTGACAACAATAGCATGGGAAGAGCTATTAGTTTAAAACTGAAGGTCTATGTCCCCTTCCAGATTTACGATAATTTATTTAAAAGAAACATTATGCCAAAAAAAGGCAACAAAAATCACAAATTTGCTGGAAATTAAGACTTTTATTCGTAGGTGACACATAAAATTGTAGCGTGTAAATTTGGCACTTTATTTGAGTGAGGTGCTTTCTTGATAAAATGCGTTACTCTTAATTTTCGTTGTTTTCACAGAAAAACAGATGACTGGAGAAACTTTAACAATTTTGGACGATCCCTCTTTGCGGGGTAAGGGACCAACAACATTTTTTACCATTTTTCCATGCTCATAGCATCCTCACTTTTGTGAAGAATTACCTGGAAGCATTTTTCAGCTCCTCTGCGGTTTGAAGTTTTAAAAGTATTTTGTTCCTGGCTATATTCTTCAAAAACCAGTTCATTATTTAGGAGGATAAAGGCACTCAGCAGCTGAGAAATATTTTAAAATGTATAATAGCTCTCTTAATTCAACATCTGATTGTCTCTATTGCAAGTAAGTGACTATAAAAATGCATGTATGCATGTTGCTACAAACTGTTTTTGTTTCTTTGTTTCTAGTATTTGTGACAGTTATTTACCGGACTTGGTTCTTCAAGGTGTTCCAGATAATGACTTCAGAGAAAGTTTAACAGCTGATTTAAAGCTTGCCCTGCAGGTATGACTCATCGAGTTTGTCAATCCATTTAACCCATTTGCTCCTGAGCCACCTGTAACTGCGTGTGTGGATCCATGTCCTTTCTACCGCTTGTGATGTCACCAGTTTTAATGGTCAAGGACAACTTTGCCCGATAACTTGTGCAGAGTGAAGCAAACCATACCAAAACGAGCACAATTCAGTCACTAAAGAAAAAGGCAAAAAACCATGTAACATTGACCCGAAAATTTACATGAAAATCTTTTTCCACTACCCATCTACTTTTCCTGTAATCCAATCCTAAGATGCTACACGTTTTCCTAAAAACTTCTCCCACCAAAATGAAGCCTACTAAATGCCCAGCAAAAGAAAAAAAAAATGAGGCAAGAAAAGTGAAAAAGAGGGGAGGAGAGAAAACGAAAGGTAAAAGTCAAGTCTGCTGTGTCACTTTTAAACCCCCAAACTCGAAATTTTGCTTTCTGCTCATGCCCGAATTTCGCAAGCTTTTATTTTACATTTGGAAATGGCTTTGTGGTAAGTTTTAGCTCTTCATAGGGCAACAGTGACCATAAAACCGCTCAACTAGCTTAAAAATGCGTTTTCGGCAAAATCTCCAGGGGTGAAAGGGTTAATTGTGACTGTTTGCCACTGCAAACACAGATGTAGTATTCATGCAAGATACCGTATTTATTTGATTAACCGCCCTGGGCGCTTATTAAATTTTTGGACCTTGAGAGTGGGGGCTTTTTTGAGGTGGGCGCATATTCAAGGTTGGCACTTATTAAATTTTCACCATTTTCAGCAAGTGAACTATGTTTATTTTGCAACAAAACAATAAGTGCTAGTAACAAAACGCGAAGAAGTAACAAAGCAAGGTTTCTGTAAAATACTCTAAAGAAAACTCCGTCCTTGGGGAAATCTCTTATTAGAATATATTCACTCAAGTGGGAGAAGTGGGGGTGAGCGCTTATTTGAGTTTGATTGGGAGGAGGAGGGGGTGGGCGCTTATTAACTTTTTCTGCCTTTAGGATGGGCGGTTATTCGAGGCGGGCGCTAATTCGAGGTTGGGCGCTTATTTGAATAAATATGGTAATTCAGTAAAGTAATGTGGCAGTAGATTAGACATTGTGGTTGTCTGACTATAGTATTTATTTTCAAATAGTGTCATTTCTTAGGTGACCATCTGCATGTAATAAGACTTATTACATGCAGATGGTCACCTGAGAATTGACACTATTTGATAATAACAGTTAGTGTCTGTTGTGATTATATTTTACAGCATTCAGTTGTTGATGATCCAATATCAGAGGCTGTGTGTATCATTGCCAACACTGACAAATGGTGAGTTGTTAACATTAACTCAACATTGTTGATAATACCTTTCCAATATTACAATTTATTTTACTAAGAGGCCAATTCCCATTTTTCGATAGCATGCTCTAAACCTATGAAATCCAGGGCGCCCAAAATAAAATTATCCGTGCAAAAACAAGATTTGCGTGATGCCCTCGGGCAAATGTTAGTCATCTGGAGCAAGGAGGCACTGCTAGAACACAGCCCTGTTTTTATTCAGTTTGGGTCAATAATAATTAACAAAGGTAATTATTTTAATTTCCATCACTTAGGACTTGCAAGGTTGTCTCTGTAAAGAAACACAGGAAGCATTCAAACAGGTAAACAGACAGACCAATAAAATACCAGAATGTGCAAATGGAAAAAAAGATAGTATTTTTAAAAACAATAAGATTCTTCTTAGACCTTAGCTGGCCTGCAAGTGTATAAGTTGTTCTATTCCCCAGACAAGGATGATGTTAAAACTCTCGTAGTTACTTACATTGTAAATATAAACGATAATTTTCGAACATATTCATATCATTATCATTTTGTACATGTATATGATGCTTGGTGTTCAATGTTCCACCACACAGTGCTCTATGACCGATGTAGCTTTAATTCAATTTTGACCCTGCTCGCCATAGAGCCTCCAGTTTCTCAGTGGTTAGAGCATCCGAACTAGAACTCAGAGGGTCGTGAGTTTCATTCTCACATGGAGCTCGGATTTTTTTCTAAACTTTCTGGCATTAGAATTCTCCTTCTTCCAACTTATATGTCTGATAATCTGTGCAGTAATTTTGCGGGAATAGTTAATTTTAATTTGTGATCTCCCTTTTTTTCTCCAGTGATCCTGTTTATGTACACCAAATTGAAGTGTCCAATTTAGTTTATTCCATGTTGTCATCCCTGAAGGGTCTCTGGGATATGAAAATGTCTGCTGAGTTTGTAAGTTTCCAGCTGAACAGCTTTTTCAAGCATACTTTAATCCTCTCACTCTAAAATTATGTTATAAGGAGACAGTATGTCACTATAACTTTTAAATCTGCCGACAACATCCTATAGTGTTAACATTCAAATCAAAACCGTTTGGCAGAACTTTTGCGTATTGCTATTACCTTAGTATTTAGGATTTGTGGGGTAGTTTCTTTTTTGGCCACTTGTATTTGTACTTGTAAATTTTGCATTTTCGTCCAATCCTGGACATAAATAGCCTCCAACGCAGGCGTTTCGCCTGTGTGGGAGGCTGGGACATAAATGACTGGTTGAAGAGAAAGGATGGATACCCTGCCATACCTGCTGTCCTTTTGAAACTTACCCTCTCACTTTTTTAAAATTAACAGGTTAAAATAACGTTGTATACTTTGAGGGATGTTTTTAAATATAATTTGAACACTTTTACCACTGTTGTATCAAGGATGTTTTCAGACGAAAATATGACTAGGAGTGGTTGTGTTTGGCTTGTAATCATTACGTGTCCACTGTGTGATATAATCAGGGTGCTAATAGCATAGTGTTAATCTCTGCTAGTTCGTTGTTAAACTTTATCAGAATAGTGGCACCATGGCATTCTATTAAATGTTTTTGTTTCATATTTTATCTCCTGTAGTGTTTAATGCACCTGGAAGATAAACTGAAAGAAATCAACCTGAAAAGCAAGGTAGGGGAATATCGTTCCGGCATGTATTAATGCTTCTGATACATAGATTGCAAGCAGTGAGCAAAATAACCGCTGACTATGTAAAACTTTCGATGACAAGAAAAGGTGCTAAATGGTACTGCACAGTAGCTTTCATTTCAATAGTCAAGCGACTCAATAGCTAGAACCAACGTTTGCAGTATTTTGACAACACCTCAGGAAAGTAATGCTTTTTATTTAGTGTTTGCGTTACACTTGGGATCATAGCTAAATTATTAATGTTGACATATACTTGCTTCTTGTTAGGTTATAACAGAAAGATTGAGAGATCGAAGAAGGGCCTTGACTCGCGATGAAGTCACTAAAATGCTCGGGTGAGTATTGTACGTATGATGTTTACTCTGCTCTAGAAATTCCTCTCTATTTTCTTTTTCTTTAACTCTTTTTGAATGACGGTGTTTGCATTGATATCCCAGTACAGTATTAAAAAAATTATTGAATGAGGTTTTTGTGATACAGTATTCGGAATAATCAAGGTCGGGTTAACTGTTATCAGCCAAACTTGAAGCCGTGTCTGCCTACACTTACCTCGACCTTAATTATTCCGGATATCACAAAAACACTAATGTAATGATTATTTTTATACATTGTTTTGAAGAAACTAACGACAAAGACACCATTGCACGGAACACAGTTTGACATTGCTCTTACATTGCGCGCGCAACGTACACAATATAGTCAGTTATCTGCTTGCAAATAACTAACTAATTTGTAGATTGTGCTGATTTCCAAAATTAACTGTAGGCTCTTATCCAATGAGGAGACAGAAAGTGACTACAAGGTATAATAATGTTAGTAATCAGGGTTTCTTTGTCCTTTTGTAGTGTGGATAACAGTGACATACCATTGTTGTTGGCAGCAGCCAGCACTCACTCTACACACAGTATACCAACGGTAAGGTGAACCTATCTCGGGCAACACAGTGTCTCAACTCCGCGAACAACAGTACACTTCATACCAGGCTATAAACTTGAATCATGTCAAAGATCCCGTCAAGACTGTCCAAAAGTAAAGTTCTGCTGGAATAGGATTGCGCTGCCATGACATGTTGTACATCACTTTTCATCATAAAGTTGCATTCGGCGTTTTTCCTTATGGCCGGATATCAACGAAACGCCTGATATGGGAACATTTGCAGAACAAACACTGAAACGTTAATTGTGAGAATAACCTCATGACTTACACTGATTCAAACTGAACTGTAAAATAGCCTTTTGGCCAAATAACAAAGACAGAAACAAATATTTAAATACATGGTGATGGATAGTATAGAAAGAAACTCTGAGCTTCTGAAGAAATATTGTTTCGTAAACCAAACTAATACATGGATTTCAACAGGCGTCAAGATGGTCAACAAACTTAAAATTAAGCAGTATATCATCAGTCGTTTTATACTGTTTGGTTTGTTCTTTGTTTTCTTTTTTGCCAAAAGGATTAGTTTGCTGTTTAAGTTTCATTTTGACGGTCCTATAAAATGCCTCTCGCCCCCTGTTTTCATGAGTGGTTAAATTCAGAGCCGAACAGATTTTAGAAAAGGGCGAAATGTTTAAATTACGTAAGTTGTCTACATTTCAATAGATTTCATTAAGGAGAGAAAGCCTCTCCAGCTTCAACGGTCATTGTGGTAGACCTAAATCGGGATTCTTCATTCCTTTCTAGTTTTTTTTCCTTCCTCCTGGTAGACGTAAATCAGGATTCTTCATTCTTTTCTAGTTTTTTTTAGTACGAATAACAAGGTCATCCAGTACACATACGTGCATAGTAATGAAATACGAGCTTTCATCTTTTGCAGCGTGAATACACAGTAATTTAGGAAAGTACTCAGCTCAGTTTCTGATCATACAGTGATCCCACTTAAGATTGGGTCTACAGACGCAGATAACCTTACATATTGATAGTATAGATCCCAATAGGATGAGCTCTGTATAGGAATTTACCCGTTAATTGTTGCTCGAAACAACTCTTGTACCGTATAATTACTGCAGGTCAGTAATTATAGGCAATATTTTAATTGTTAATTAACGATTGTCACCTTGAGTGACTGAGGTATTACGTAGCTTAAGCAACCACCGCGACGACGGCTGCCGGCAAAGCGTTTCTTAAACTGTGTGAATTCGCGCTGTTTCAAACTTTATTGCCCTTATTCCTTGTTGTTGCAATTTTTTAATGTTTGCGGATTTTTCGGGATTCGAATTCTAAGGGACTGTATTGAAGTTAGCAAAAAGAAAAAGATGTTCTTTATTTTCTGTTCACGTCCTCCAGAAAACGTGAAACGGGGAAGTTTCATGTCGCAGCCGCGCAATGACGACAAAGAGATTTGAGAAACAAGCCTGCTGCTGTTGTTGTTTTGCTAATCTAATTTTTTTTAGACGCTCTCGTTACCGTCGCCGTCGTGATTGCTTTAGCTCCCTATTATTAGTCGTGTCGCGTATAAAACCCAATCGAAGAGGTCAAGCGACTAAAGCAAAGAAAAGCCTGTAAAACGCATTCGGCTTTGAATAGCAGCTTTCCAATAGTTTCCTTGGAAGATGAAGAACGGCAAAGGAATTAAATTTCTGTATAATCAGAGCACTGATATTTAATATATATTCTATATTTTCAAGCAGAAGATATTGTAAGTTGGCTGTTAACATGTATGTTTTGCTATAAATGAATAAAGGGGATAAAGAGGTTAGTTTCTACAGAAACTGGTTTTGTGTCAATGAAGGAGTAAGAAAAATTATTGTTTTATCAACGGAGTTGGAGAATCGGAAACTGACGTCCGGAGCGCGGTCCCTTCGTCAGAACAAATCGAGGGGGATTAACATAGAATGCCTGTGAAGCCACATGACAGGGGCGGTCAGTAGGGCGGGAGAAAAGGCGCAACGAAAGTTTTCAAGCACAGGCGGAAAAGCCCCTGGGTTACCGACTCTCACCGGACCATTTCCAAACGATCAAGCGAATGTTGGCTCCTAATTGGGCACAAAAAAATGCTTTGTATTATTGTGCCCAATCGGCGAACAGCATCTCCTGAGTTCTTTTCGTGAGTTCGTACACGACGGCTATTGACTCGATCACGGCTTGTCTGGCTCATGCACCAAAGAAATGCACGCAGTCAGGAAACTTTGAGTTTGATATAAACTCTCCATTTCAAAATACTGTCTGCCCGAAAACTAAAGGCGCTTTTCCAAAAATACAAGCTTGAGCTTAACAACAGGTATTCACGCTTTCATCGATCACGCCGTCGTAAATATTAGGGAGTTAAGATGCAACCACAGCTGACGGCCACGAAAACGTCGCATGAAAAGTGAATTCACATTTTTTCAGTCTTTATCGTGATTATTCCAACTCGCTTACTTTGTCAAATGCAAGCGAACCCTTCTGGAGCTGAATCTCTGTCAACCATATCCAAGTTCATAAAGAGAAAGAAAATTTTGTCATTCCTTGGTTAAAATTCGACATTCTTTATTTTAGTTCAGTTCTAGTGAAATATATATATAATATGAACCGAATAAACATACCATGAAGTTTTAGCTCAATTGAAGCAAGCATCTCCGAGATATTATATTTTGGCCCTTATCTTCGTAGAGCGGTCGGAAAAAATTGTCGGTAAAAACAGCTTGTGACGTCAATGTTGGTCAGGTGAAAAAAAAGCGGGAAATTCAAAACAGCGTTTTTCGAGTCGACTTGGCGCGACAGGGCTTAAAAACGGATGGACATGCGCATTAAAACTCTGGGGTTCTTCCCGCCATTCGATTTTCAAAATGGCGGACGACGAATGAAAATTCTACACGTCATTGTGACGGCTATTTGCGACATCTTGCTCGCCCAAGGCCTTCAAATTNGAAGCCACTCCATACAAAAAAGGCAATGACCAAAAGTCGCAAACCACTTGAGTTGTATGTTGTTGACGGTTGATTCCCTTGACGCTTACTTGCATCAAAACATGTTGCTCTTTTATCTATTGATTAAGTAGCCGAAACACTATGTTTTGTGTATCAGGAATTTAATACAAACTGATAAATCTCAACTACTGTAGCAACACGTCCTGATATGGTAAGAAATTTGAAAAATGCGCCGAAATACAGCTCCCAATCGGCCACCGATCGTCCGCCATATTGACAACAGGATCATTCATTTCTTAACTTTCCGCATGCGTAGTAACTACGAGATCGCTTTTTTACGTCACAACCTTTCGACCAATCAGCCGTTTTTAAGCCCTGTCACTTGGCGCAGAATTGTGGTGGTTTGTGCGGCCATAAACCTAGAAAGAACAAGCAATTTGTCTTCAAAAGTTGCAAGCTGTGGTTATAACCTGATTATTTAATTTTCTCGAAGAATACATCATAGTAAAACAGACTTAAACGACGGCATTACTTTCTTTGCGCTGTACTGGAAATGTGCTTGCGTAGGTCCGATTTTTTTCAAGATGTATTCACAAAATGTGTTCATATAAGGAAGTTTCTGGATATATAAGGTCCGGAGCTCCTCTGTGGACACAAAAACAAAATATCTTTGTAAGGTGATTTGCCCAAAGAAATTCACGCTTGCCCACAATGTGTTTGAAGTCATTGAACTTTGTCGCACTCCAGCTGATATTTTAAAACCCACGCTCGATCGGACAATTGTGCTTCGCAGAACACTAAAATATAAACAAAATCCTCCATGTAGAAGTTTTGACGTTGATATGTGGGCAGAAAAAGAGTTAATCTTTATTTAGTAAAATCTTCCGCAAAATCGGTTTCAAAGCAACTACAGTTTTTTTGTACTTGATCGTTTCGCGCAGATAAAGTTTGCTTTGTGTTGTCAAGTTAACATGCATAACACTTCTCAAAAACCAAGTAAGATTTCCTTCAAACAAAGTTGAAGTTGTATTATTGCAAAAACTTCTCTCCAGTTTTTTATATGATTTAATTACCGACTGAGGTCGCTTTAAGGACCATAGACGCCACTTTAAGCTCGCAAAGAGAGGCGACAAGCAAAGAACAATTCCATCATGCATAAAATTCAGCTTAAGTGAACTAAAAAAAAAGCTTCAATAAGGTTGCAAAACAACAAATTTCCACTCAAAAAACATAAGGCTTAAGGCTCTTATACCTGCTGACAATGAAGAAGGGAATTTTCTGTGCGAAATAACCTACCTAAAGATCTTAAAAGCAAAAGATCAGTTACAAGCTTCGCACCCAAGCCATGATTCACCATTTAGCTATTTTTAAAAACTGGCCCATGCGAGGGTCTTCATTCAAGCAAATTAAACTCAGCAAACTAGATCATTAGAAAGTACAGAAAACTCCACATAAGGATTTGTTTTGCTCGCTTCAGTCAAATCCAGATCCAGCAATTGTTTACGGGCAAAGAGTTAATTATTTTGAAGCCACTGCCGGCAGTTGTCGTTCTCAGTTACTTCACAGCGGGTGAAAAGGAAAGTTTGCGTACAGAAAGAAAAGAAAACTACGTAATTAAAAATGAAAAAATAATAAAAAAAATACTCTGACTATTACAGAAAAGTGATCGAAGTAGTCTGTTCTTCTCGAATAAGCTTGCTAGCCTTCTATAGTTCCGAGGAAGTTTTCAGCGCTCAAGTTTGTTCACTCACAAGCGTTAGCATTACGGTTCTTTGACATAAGACGAGGACAAAGCTGGTTCTGCAAAGGTAAATGAATCTGGGCATGTAAAAAAACTTACCGTAACTACTAATAACAGAATACAAGCGGGTTTTAATTCAGCCCGGCGAAAGAAGGCGAAGCACTGGACACAAAATCGAATGCACAATTATCAGAAAAATACAAACCTCTTGAAATGTTCAAAACGTTTTATTCCTCCTCAGACTGACGGAATGATCTGTTTTTACTCAAACATTGGTTGTTCTGAATCCAAAGTTATTTTCAAGTGACGAAAAAACAACAACAACAAAAACCAAAAAAAAAAGCCTTTACAAGGAGCAAACGTTCGCACCTCGTGTATTTCATTCACTCACAGGACGAGACAAACAAACGCAGGCGATAAGGGTGCGCAGAGGCTTGCGCAGAACGTTTTTCCGCCCTGAAAGACCAACATTGACGTCACGGGGGCTCCAGTCCATCACGCGGCCATTTCAGAAACGTTTTCGTGAAGTTTTCGGAAATGCTCGGATTTTGATCTTTTATCTTTCTATAAAGGCTTGGGAAGAAAAATCTTTACCCAAATCTCACTTAGGATGGTTCTGTTTAGTGTTTAGTGAANCTTTGTTAATCGTAATATTATTCTATCCATGGAATTATCATAAAAAGTTAACCGACTTTTAACAAACAAAGTTTCTGTAACACCCATAGTTTAACCAATTATAAGCTCTGAGAAGCAATTTCAATGTGACGGGAAACGGTTCCACATTGGATTGACTATTATGTCCCTAAATAAACACTACGAACTCCTTTTCTTCGAAGAGAACTGTCATACAAGTCTTTTTCAGACTCTTCTGAAAAAGGTAAATTACTTTTCACATTTTCCGAGCCTTCCATTCCGGAACTACCGGAAAATATGTAACAATTAGCACGCGTTGTACGGCTATTTCGAAATCTGACTGTTTTAAAGAGGGTGCTGCAAAAAACGTATATGAGGTCTTGCTTTTCTGTGAAAAGATGGTCTGGCGTGAAACTTTGTGCACAAAACAGCTTCTCTAAAGTGCTTTTTATTAGCATGTTTTTGTTTTGTCCTTGCAAATATTCTTGCCAGAAAACGCGAATCACCTTGTACACAATCTTGGACAAAACTGTTGAGAAAATTGTATACTTGGACAGCATTTTTCTAAACATCGTAGCTGTACCGGTTCTTCCCTCTCCCCCTTCCCCTAAAAGCAATGTTGTTGTGTATTCAAAAGAAAGCCTGATCCCTGGGGGTTTGTGGGAAGCAACATTGAATTGAGGGAAGGGGTTTTCTTTCCGCAAAGGCGTCGTTTTGGAAATAGTTTTGTTGCGTAGGAAAGTGGACATGATGGGGAAAACTTTCTCAAGTAGTTTTGTCCGGGATTGCAGCATTCGCTTGACCGTTTGGAAATGGTCCGGTGAGAGTCGGTACCCTGGGGCTTTTCCGCCCATGCTTGTAAATTTTCTCCCGGCCCGACTGACTGACCCTGGGTCTCCGAGGATGGGTACTCCTTGATTCTGTGTAGCCTGCTATTTTTCGGAGGGAGAGAAGCGACGACCGGAAATGCGTCTGCTGTTCGCAGGCTAGATTCCGTGGGGATTTAGAGCTTTTTTTTGCGACTCGTTTTACTTTGGTGTAAGGAGACACCGTAGATTGCCATGCATGGCTAGAATCACTTAGAAATACCTTTCGCTGAGGTGAGTGTGAGATCAACGAAATCGACCTGTGTATCCCCTGTTTTTTCAGTTTGCAGAAAAAATCGCGTCTGTTTAGTACTTTCGGTCGATTTCCGGTTCCTTTTCCACACCAATGAGTCCGTTTCTTTTTAAAAACGGACATATTTTTGTTTGATCACTTTCTTCCTACAAAAAGGTAGACAATTTGCATAGCCTTGGGCTTCATGGGGCTCACCGGTGGAAAAAAACAAAATCGGTGGAGCAGACACTCTTTACCAGTCAGTTCTTCTGAATTAAGCTTTGAAATTGTTTTGGAATTTTCAAAACGTGTTGCTGTAAAGGGGAACGAACTTTTCCCAGTGCGCCTGCTAATATGCTGAAAATCGGGTTGACTCAAAGAGAAGTGGCCAGACTGACAGGCTACTAACAATACATTTCAAATTTAGAAAACGTTTAGCTACTACTGTTGTTTATTATATACATACTAAGAAATACTCACCAAAAAGTTGTGTTGTAAATTTTGATCCGCAAATGAGTTCTAGCCAATCAGAGGAGTGAACAATGGTTTTCACACGTTAAAAAAACGATGCGTCCAATCAGAATCGCGAACGATGTTTTTTCACATGTGAGAAAAATGATACGTCCAATCAGAAGCCACGGAGGTGTGTGAGTTTCGCGCCAAAATTCGCGCCTTTTCTTGCAGCTTGCTGAGCGCCGCTTTGCACACATTCGAGGAGAAAAGTCTTTCTCAAAGAATTTTTTATCGTTAAAAAAGTGAAAAACATTTCAGAAATGGAGTGGAATAGTTTCCTTTGTTCACTGTCGATAAAGAAAACTGTAGAGAGCCGGCGAAAGAACAGCGGAAGAGGAAAAACAGAACAAGACGTAAGCTTATGCTGTGCTTTTTATCGGAGCTACTTTTGTCTTTGTCTTCCATTTATAAGCTTAAGCTTATATTGAAACCGGCCATTTTACTTAAATTCACTCATTTTCAATTGTACATTCAGAACAAACAGTTAAGATTACTTGTAGTTCTTGGATTACCTCATATCCTTACCGTCATTTATGTTTTTAAGAAACGTTTCCACTAAAAAGTTGATACTTCGTTTTCATTGTTTAATATTTTGTGGTGTGTAGCGGCAAATTTAAGCATTTTGGAAAGATTTAAAACAAAAAAGCCACCAAAATGATGACTGTCTCAGTATGTATACAATAAACACGATACCAGATGTAAAGTGCTTCGTACGGTATTTACCCCTTCGTTGTTTTTGTATCAGAAATCTCACTCGTTCGCTGCGCTCACTCGTTCGATTTCTGACACAAAAACAACTCGTGTGTAAATAACGTACGCCAGCACTTTCCAAGAAGTATTCTCTACTTATGCAAATACGAAACTGATTACAGTACCCCATGAATAATGAGTGACTCGCTTGTTAGCACTAAATTGCTACAAAAACGTAGCGCGTTTAAGGAGTCTTTTGTCTCTAAAGTTTCAATGACCCTGATCATGACACCGTAACACCCTAAAATATCAATAACGCTCTCGTTGAGGAAGCTATATTGGAGGTACGAGTCCCCGGCAATACCTCTTGTCCCCGGCTATAAACCTTTTTTGGAAAAAAACGTCCAGGTGCCAAAGAATGGGTAATGACGTCATTACGTTGCTATGAAAACTGTGATTTTTATTTTATCTTATTCACCATTTTCACATTGTCCATATATACACCTTGTATACACCACCCAAAATGTTGCATTACCATTTTTCTTCAATTTCTTCTGGGTATTATGGTCTTCCCATGAGAAATTAACGACAAGGCTTGTGCAAAATTGTGAGGAGTAAACTAGGTGTATTATGGGCAATGTGAAAATGGTGAATACAGCTGTGGAGACCGTTTAGGTGGTGGTGACTTAGTTAATGCTCAAACATGGCATGTATTGACACTGGAAATCCTTGACGGGCCATTTAAGGAGGGAGTAAAACATTCTTATCACGCAGAAAACAACCCGGCTTGAGAAAATTCAGGGGTAAAATTTTTCAATCTGCCAATGTTCTTCCTCAAAGTACAGCGCGCGCAGCGATATTAAGGCGTATTGACGTGTCACTAACAATACTTGCAAAGCTCTTGGACATATCTCGGATGTTCAATTTTCGGAAGCTGGTTCTCCAATTTCGGACTAACCTAACAAAGTTAAGGTTAGGGTTTGATTTTCGGTCAAGCCTGAATTTGTTTCAGATTCTTTTTAAACCACTTACTAATAGGTTGTTTATAAAACTTATACAGTTTCATCCCTCGAGTAAATTCGACTGAGGCGACTCTAAAAATATGATAGTCAAGTCAAGGTTTAGCAGAAGCACCGACGAACAAATCCAGTCCAACGAAGGAATCTGGGCTTGGATTGAAGAAATGACGGCTGAAATTAATTAGAATACAGAAAAAACCCGCGACTAAGAACCTGGTTTTTAAAGAACCTTTAAGGCTAAAATTTGCCAGTTAAGCCCCCTCTACAAAAGAAATTGATTAGCCTAAAATTTGAAGCAGGTTCTTATTTTCTAAAATCTATAAAAATTCTGTTCACTTGGAGCAAATAAAATAAGTCAACATTCAGGATCCTCTTTGGAGACATGTGTATTACCCCTCCAACTTAACTGTAATAATGTATGCAGATAATAATACATATGTAAGAAATAAGCTGGATACCACTTAATATTGTTAGCTGTAATGTACGTTTCCCTTCAGAAAATAAGAACCTATTTAAAACCTAAATAGCCTAAATTTGTGCGAATTACCATTTAATATGTAAGGACCAGTCTAGGCTAACTTTGGAAATTGCATGCAGGTTCTCAGTCGCGGTTGTTTTAAATGTCGTTTATCAAAGAAGAGCTTTCTACTGATGACAACAAAACCTTAGTGAAGCCTTATCCTTATGTATATTGCCCTTGATGAGAAGGGAGGAAGACTGACCACTCACAAAAATTCTTTGAAGGAAGTTCAGAACATAATAAATTCGCTAGACCTTATTGACATTTGGCGGGTCTCCAATCCGGATATCAGAAGATTCACTTGGAGAAGAAGCAAGTGTGAAAACAGGTTTTGCCTTCACAAAAGGGAAAACTGACGGACGGGGAAAAACTCTAAAACTCTCTGGGAAAGGCCTTTTCCTGGGGACACTCGCTGGCTGCGGGAAGGTACGGAATCTCTTACGTCTGCTGAATACCCTTGAGACAATGATCACAACAGAACTTGGTTCCAACGTAGAAGTTTAATCCAAGACTATACTGCGGGTAGAGTCAGGAACATAACCAAAGAAAATCTTACAAAACACCGGTGTAAATACTCTAAGTTGATGACGCGATACAGATTAGGTCATGTACTAGCGAGGTAAATTACAGAACACAACAATCATTTCTAAAAGACTATTGGTGGAAACCTAAGCTTGCTTTGAAACATTAATTACTTTCAAAAGCTACACAGGTGGATAACGGCTTCTTACAGGTTGATTACAGTTTGAAGACTAAATACAATTATGACTTGACAAATAAGTTTATGCTCAATAAATCAACAGGTTGTTTACAGCTTAAAGAAGTTAAGACTAAGAATAAATGATTTCTACATTGGCTTTTCATATTTTTATCAGCGAAAGCAAAACAACTGAATAACAATAAATTATCTCTTCACACAAGCCCGAAATTCACTGTCGCTTAGACTTTTTCTTGACGAGTAATAGTCTAAGTTCGGCAATTACAAAAGCTGATATTTTACCAGGATACAAAACAGACCATTCTTTGATAACGCTCCACCTTGCAAACAATACCAATCCCAGGGGCCCGGGCTTCTGGAAGTTAAATACGTCTTTTCTATCAGACAGTGAATATATTAATTTGATAAAAACAACAATCACTGAAGTTGCAAATGAATACCAAAATAACACTGAGGTTGATGCCGTGCTCCTCTGGGATACAATGAAGATGCAAATTCGTTCAAAT